AATTTATTCTAAGAATTAATAAATAAATTAATTGTCATATTAAATTAACTTGTCTGAATAAGTTATTAAATCTAATGTCTCACCACAGCCTTAGTTGATATTTCAGTATTAATCTTACACTCTAGCAATTTTTTTGATATAGAGCGGACTGTTTCAAAGTTAACGTGTTTTCATCTCGGAGTTAATCTTCTGCTTCTTTTTTCTTGGCCTTTCAATTCAATAAGGTTCAAATCATTATTGTTATTTAATTTGATTACAACCGTCATTTACTAATAATATGTTACCTCTAAACTTTGTTCAACGATTTTAAGGCGATTTAATTTCTGATCGTTCTTCATCCAAAGGTTCATTTGTTTCTTCAAGAGAACATTGTATTAAAAGTCCCGATAATGTCTTCAATATATTCTTGTGTCATCTTCATGCTCATTTGGTACTTTGGGTTTCATTTGCGATAAAAATTCAACTTCTCCCTAAACATTAATTTAAGCATAAATTTGATGATGTCGATACATTAATCTTTACCTCATGATGAAAAACATAAAATAAATAAATAAATAAATAAAAAGGAACCTTCAAAATTAGAAATCGTTTATGATCCAAATCGATCCCGCTTTCTTTAAAAGACTTGTAACTTCAGGATAATTGCTTTGTCGCCCATTTATGAAATGCTTGCATTATTGCGAAAAGCTTGACGCGAGATAACCAATTGAGATTGAGGTAGAATCTCATAATTATCCAAATCAGGCTATAATATTATTAAACATCATGCGTTATTATTATTTTAAGTGGAATTTTTTTTTTTTTTTTTTTGGGAAATTAAAACTTTATTATTTACCAAATCAAGAATTTCTTCAAAATATACATCAATTCTGCTAGCATCCAGATTTTCACTTTCCTATGATGATTGATTTTCTCGATAACTAAATACAAATAAAAGTGTATCGATAACATTTGATTTTCTCGAACCATTTGATCTGACGACAGCAGTAAAAGACTTTTGAAATTAAATTTTAATGATTAGAGAATCTCGTGATGTAGAAAAGCTCCAAGAAAACAAATATACCGTATCTTATACCTTATGAAACGGACCTATTTCCTGTTTACCAAAATATGACTTAAAATTATTTAAGATCATTTTACTGATAATAAAACGCTTTTTAGGTTCTAGAACAGAAACATTGTCAATAGAAAACTCTAAGTGAGGATGAAGTCATTAAAGGAAGTATGTAATTATAGATTTAACGGTGGACGGCGTCAGACACGACTAGAAAGTTATATATAGAGAGAGATCACGTATATGTGAGTCGGGCATTATGCATCCCACAATTTAATACAATTTACGCGACACTCGCGACACTCGCGACACCATTTTTTGAATTAGTTAGATTGATCGTCCAAACCGGTTACAGTGAACAGAAAATCCGTGTAACTCTAGACCACGTACTAAAACACGAACTTAAATTTTTTTTTGGGGGATAGTTGGTCTCTTATTGTATCTATTGTATCTTCTTTTTTTTTTGTTACATCAATCTTATGATTATTATCTTTCTTTTATTTTTTTAGTAAATGTGACTTATGTTGCAGTTCCGGAGTCATTCAGTCATTTTGCTATTAGAGTTGGAGTACATTCTACTAAAGATCCGAACTTATATAAAGGTTTACACATTGTTGATGGCAAGAATGATAACACACATATGGAAATAATCCTATGAACTGAAACATATATTTACGGTTTCTACAATCATCTTTCACCTCTTTGAATTTGATCCAGAAAATGGATTGACTGTAATCCATCAAAGATCACAAAGAATAAAGGTGGTTTAGGAACTACTTCGATATACTGTATTTATAAAGCCGATAGAATACCCGAAAAACGGTCTTCTTTTAAAATCTAGAAATAACTTCTTTAGACGATCTAGCCTTTGACCCCACAGTTATAATTTTTAATACTATCCAATTTATAAATAAATAAATAAATAATATTTTTGACTTTGAATTTGATTTGAAAAAAATAGTTTAAACAGTCATTTTATTTAATAATAAAATAATAAATTCTCTAATTGTAACAAAATCATTAAATATGCAAATAAAGTTTTTATAATTCCTAAATCCTCGTATACGATAAACGATACGAAGAAAAAATTACCAACTCATGAAAAATTATTTTTCCATTCATGCTATAAAATAAAAATGTTTTAAAAAATTAGTATATATAAAAAATAAATAAAATCAAATTAAAAAAAAAATTATTTATAACTTACTATTTATTGCCATTTGCCGTTGTTCTATGCGAACTCGAGCAGTACTTTGTGCCATAAAACGTTGAGATTCTTGACCTTGTACTTGCTCAATTGACATTGGTGTCCTATTGTACGAATTGCTATAAATTTATTTTTTGTTGGTTTATTGTTAAACATAGCAACTTTAGTAATAGTAGCAGTAAATAAATTTTTTATTTGTGTTAAAAGATGTTGGCAGAACTTTCGAATATCTATTATAATATATTATAATATATATAAAATAAAAAAAAAATTCTCAATAAAAATCTTGTAACACGTGTATCGTTAAACAAATTCTAAGCCACATTTTAGTAACAGATTATCGAACAGAAAATGTCGCGTTATGAAATTTTTGGAGGAAAGGCGAATTAGAATCGAATGAAGCATATAAGGTATATGGATTTTCTTCCACAATGTTCCACAGTAATATATTGACCCCATCTATTCTTATAAGCGAATTTTGAAATATCCGATATTCTGGATGGGACTAGGGAATTTGACCTAATGTCTCAGTCAGCAGTATGTATAAAGTGACGAGAGTTTAGGTGGAATCCAAGCATAATTCATTGAAAATATTCTTAAACAACTTTTCATCACAATTAGAAATTGCTTTGAGCGAAAGCATTATTGAATTCAAGAATTACGAGTAAATGATTGAATGTCCAAATCATAAGATCAACTGATGTGAGAATCAAATGTTAATCATTCAATACGATTTTCCTATATTAAATATAATTCATGTAACAGAAATATTCTTTGGTAGCGATAGTCTCCTTAATAAATATCTAGGATGATGAGGTTCATCAGGCTATTCCTTCTACTCATCTAGGCATTGTATATTACAATTATTTTTGACTGAGCTTCATAATTATTTAGACGACTGAACATTGAGCGTATTATATCGACATCATCCGTTATAAGTGTAATAATGGTGTCCACTGCGATCACTAGTATAGTTGTCGTAACAATAAGGATATTATCTACTTTACAGCGAAGCATTTGTTGTGGAAATATGTAAGTGACAAATTGAGCAGTGAGATTTTGTGAATCTTTTAATTCAGATTTTACTAAATTTCTTTTACGTTATGTACAGGATTAGAGTTTCAAAGCAAGGCTCGCATTTCAAGCAGTAGGAATATGTCCGGTAAAACATATATGGAAACTTAACGTATTTAAATTCACTGAACAACTTTAAATGACAATTTTCGTAATCACAGCAAAATGTAATTTAAATTGATTTTCCTTTTTTTTTTTATAAGGTTTTACTTAAAACAAGATCATAATAAAAGAAAGAGCATAATATTCTACGCTTTTATATATTACGGACAGTAAGTATAAATATTTTACTTGATTGGATTATTAAATCTAGTAACATTATTAAATCTATTAACAAAAAAAAATTTTTTTTCTTTATATATCTTATTGCCGGAATCCTGTAATTTTTATTCTACCAATAAATGATTAGACCAAAATATATGCATAGATTTCGGGTATGGATTTGGAAAATCTTTATCAATCATGTCAAAAGAATTTGAGATATAACAAAAAGGTGATTTACATTCTTGGTTGATTTTTATTAAATAGGACGCGAGTTTTTCCTAATCCAACTCTTTATAATATATTCCGATGTCAATTAGTATATGAACCAGAGGAATATTATTTTCGGCTGATAAAATGAAATCCATCGAATGTTTATGTGTATGTAGACTTTCGAATGACAAATATATTTAAGAATATCTTTCATTTTGATGCGTTATTTATTATTGGTTTTATGATTATCGTTATTCATATTTTTATAACATCATCCATTTCAATTTCAAAGCGATGTAAATGGAACTCGAGAAAACTCAGTTGGATATATTCACAGATGAACAAATCAATCCCTTTATACAACTATAATAGCGTTTTCTTGGTGATGTTTATGAAAAATTTTCCAAGGATTCGAAAACAATTTTAGTTTCTAATGCGTTTAATAAAGGTCAAGAGAAATCTACCATCAAAGTTTCATACGTAATGCTTTCGAGTTGCAATCAAATTCATCAGGTAAACAATTAAAGTATGTACAAAGCTTTTTACAAACTATTTTTTGTTCAAATACGAAATATTTTAAATATACTTCCATATTTAGAGAAAATGATAAATTCAAATGGTTTCATCACCTTAATCATAATTTGATTAAAATTTTATTGAAGAGATGACAAAGATAATCAAGATATTATATGGGAAGTTTGCTAGGAAAATGGGGCACCCTATACAAATTTTTTTTGGATTTATTAAATACCCGGATATTTCACATGGAGATGTTTCTTCAAAATTTATAAAATATCCGGGGTATCTCTATAAATTTGATTGGCTGATAAAAAATATTGACGACGTTATTCTAGCATTTTATTTTATCCCTCTTTTTTTTTTTTCATTCTCTGTTTACAATATATGTTTTTTAAGGATCAAAAATATTTTTTTATTTAATCCATCATTTTCTTCATCTTTTTAATTTATTAGAGCGATGAATAGAGCTAGAGGGAGGACTTCGTGGTTTTGGTGTGAAGTGGGTCGGGATTTCGTCGACCGAATTTCTCAAGTGAATTACATGCCTTATTACATCAAACTCTTTCAAACGACACATCAGCTGTATTTCACCATATACTTTTCAACTAAAATAGCTCTTTTAATCAACTTTATAATTTGAAATTAAATCTCAAATTCGATATTGTATATGGAATTGAATTTCAAGAACCAATACCACCCTTCGGATTTGGCATTCTTTCCACATGAATTACATATGGTTAAAGATGATTCAATAATAGCAACAATTTCTACAAATGGTATTATAAATTTATCAACAAATTTTTTTTAATTGTTTATTATTTTTCATTTACATTATTATTATTATTAAAATTTTTTTTTTCTTTACAGAAACTCAAATGAAGGTTCATTTTGGTTTTGATTTGACATTTGGACAATTGCTAGAACAAGAAAATAAAGAAAAAACTAAAAATGTAGAGGTATTTATAATTCATTTGATTCAGAATTTCTGTACAGTTTAAATATCAGGTATGATTTTTAATACATAAATTATATAGCATGTTGTTGAAAACGAAATAGAAAAATATGCCGAGATAGAACCATTCCAGGAAGACGAAGAATATGGGGATGCTATGGATTATGTTGAAAGTTACTTTGATAATGGAGAGGCAGATGATGCATTTGATGACGATGGTAAATAATTTTTTTTTTTTTTGATAAAATTTTTTTGTTATATTTCTAATATTTTTCAAAATAAACAAAAGAAATTCAGGTGGTGGAGGAGAGGCGTATTTTGATTAAATTTTGGATTGCAAAAAAAAAAAAAAAAAAATTAAATTAAAAATAAAAAAATAATTGAAATCCTGCAATTTTCGTATGATAGAATTTTGTTTAACTGTTTAATCAAAATTTGCATCAAAAAGTTTATCGATTAGACATCCCATGATTGTTGAAAACAATATTAGTATTAATATTATCAGAATTGGGTAGTCGGTAATAGCATTATTTTCTAAAACAAAATCTTTAAAAGGATTAATGCTAAAATTCGGTATAATAAATAAATCCTGAAGGAATTTTGACTTGACAAAATTTAAAAAGAATTTAGGTGGCGGCATGGAAACATCTAGTATGAATAAAGTTCTATAAATATAATCGATTGAATTTGATAATGGTCCGTAAAAAATGGCTTAGTCCCTAGAATACTTAGTAAATTGAAGAACGGCTGGGATGTGACGCTATGTGACAAATTTGCTAACCCCCTCAAACTAATCCTAATCCTAATTTAAACCCTAACTATAATACTAACCCTAATAATAAATATCCGGCAAATAAAATCCGGCTACCATTTTTTACGGGCGACGCTGTGTTCGTCAAGATCACCGTATTAATCACAGAAAATCATCGCCTGATACAGAGAATCTCTGCTATTCATTCCCCCCAGACAAGCGTATGTCGCGCTCAGCAGGTCTTTCGACGTGAGAAACGTGAACATCTCGAATATAGCGAACTTGTTGTAGGAGCTGGTAGAAGTCGTTATGTTGTTATTGGGAACTTTTCAAAAATAGCGGATAAAATTTTGACCAGACGACCGCGCAACCAAATACAGCCTAAATTTTTGAATTATTATTTCATCATTAACTTTAGAGGTTTTTATGCTACTAAAATTTTTGATTCTCTAAACATTATTTTTGCACTTATTTTGTAGAAATTTAAAAAGTTATTTAAAAGTTATTTGTTTATTAAAACTTTAATAAAGATTATATCTTTTTAATAATAAACATATTTATAACAAATATTTTAATGAAAATAATAATATTAAGAAGAAAAAAAATGGAATGCAAATCCTAATATATTTGATAAGAATTAACCTATTACTAAAGTGATACATAACTTTATACCAACTTATCTTAAAAAGTAATATAGTAAAATAAAAAAAAAACTTATGCTAGAAACTAAGCAAAATATGAAATTACTATAACGTTTAATCAATCTTCAAAGAATAAACTATTTTCAAGCTCCCCAAATAATTCAAATATTGTTGGACGTTTTGAAGGATCAGGGTCTAAGCATTGGTTCATTAATTCAATATAAATATCCGGAATTTTTTCCGTTGCTGAATGATGATATGCAGCTCCTAAAGTCCGCATGATCATTCCAACGCTATAGATGTCGCTAGCTTTGGTTGGCGGAAAGCCGTATAAAATTTCAGGAGCTACAAAACGAAGTGCTCGAAATTTTTCGATTGGATTCTTTTCAATTGAGTCATGCATACCTACGTCCGCAATGCTTGTATCTACCAATCCTATATTATTTGAACCAACTTTATTGATTAATATATTTCCGCTATGGATATTTCCATGAATTAGTTCATTGTCGTGAAGTATTTCGAGACCTCCAGTTATATCCCAAAGCATATCAACAATGGTTTCGAATCTAAGAATCCCAAATGTTTTACTCAAATATGAGTACAAGTCTTGTTCATCATAATATTTCATAACGACCATAAAAGTTTCCGAGACTTTGGTTATGCCGTAGTAGTATGCTAATTTTCCTTTTCGAAAGCAAGTTCGATGTTTATACATCTAATTTAAAATCGTATGAATAAAAGTTATTAATAAATATTTAATCAATAGCAATAATGATTAAACATCGTTTAAAATTTGTGACTTACTTGATTTAAATATTCTTCACTAATATTAAGTGAATTATCAATTCTTTTAAGCGCAACACGTGTTGGCCCGTCACGTATCCATTGTTCAGCATCTTCATCCCAAGTCTGTCGAGGACCTTCCATCCACATTGCTGAATAAATGGTACTATATGAAGTATTTTTTATATATTCGACTGATTCAAACTGATCAAAATCAATATATTCTAAGTAAGACCCTCTTTCGGTTGCATTTAGCTGAGTATTTTTGATAAAATCATCAATATTAGGATTTCCGCTGGTCCAATTTTTAAAATTTTCTTCAAAGGCATCGGACTCACAACTTTCACACCATCCTTCAATATCTATTTCCCTTCCACAAACAAAACAATCAGAAGGGAATAATTTCATAATAAAAGGATCGTTTTGTTGAAAAGTTAGTTCAGGCATTTGATGTTAAAAAAGTTATAGAATTTTTTCATAAAAAAGGGACGGGTTGATTTTACTTCTTTATATACGAAAATAAATCTAATTCGGATTTTAATGCGTTCTTTGTGAAAAAAAAAAAAAACTATAAACATTCCGTGTTTGCAAAAAAATATCTTTTTAATTAAACATTAGACCATTCGAATTAGGAAAATTACCCGCTACATTTATCTTATTTAATTACTGCAAATTTAGATAAACAAAATAGTTGATGATTTATTGATTTTCCAAATATATCTAAAGTTTTGTGAATAGAACAAAGGAAATGTTTTAACTTTACCCGCTACATTTATCTTATTTTTAGATAAACAAAATAATTTATTGATTTTCCAAATATATCTAAAGTTTTGTGAAATGTTTTAAATTGGTACGCAAAGATCAATCTAAATGCCGAACTGCCGATCAATTTTTTTTGTTATCGTTATAGTCGAATCTAAATTAAGTCACCTGTATCACAAGTGGAATGAACATAATACAAAATTAATTTCTATATCAAAGACCAAAGTTTCAAATATAATTTATAAAAATCTTTTGTTTTGTTTTACACAAACCCAAATGTAATATATTTTATATTTTTAGGTGAGGCAATGAAAAAAAAATAACCGCATCATTTTGTCGATCAGTCTCACCTAACTAAATTCACGTAAGTTCTCAAATTTGTTTTCCGTAAACAACCCCCAGATTAATTCACACAAATTCCCTGCAGAGAAAGGAAAAGGGGGAATTTTCCTCCTAAGGAAAATTACCGCCGGTTAATTCCTGAAAATGCCTTGTTTCACGCAATAGAATAAATCAATTTTTATAAATTATATAGAAAATGCAATTTAGATTTGAGAAATTTTGTTATGAAACATATGAAACAGAGATGACAAATATTAGTGGTATATACAAACGGTCAATGATGAATTTTTTGGATACAATGTGAGTTTTGGCAAATTTTCTTTTTTTATGCCGTCGAAATATAACTATAATAAGGTTAATTCTTGCTGAATCGGATATTAGTTTCCGTGAGAAAATTTTTTCACGTACAAAGCTTGAATAAAGTTTTATTAAAATATTTGTGTCATGCCGAACACAACATAATCAATAATCTTATTTACCATCTAAAATAAGTAATTTAGAAACGTTGATTCAACATTTTTACAATTATTTAATTTTGCAGTTCGACAAAAATAGATTATTGTGATCAATTTGTAATTCACTGTTATACGTAAATACCTGCATGAAACAAACCAAAATCATTTGTGTCCACAAGATTTGACGAAGCAATCCATTGGCTCTATATTCTCTGTATTAAAAAACCAAAAAAGGAATATCCCCATTGTTTAATTAAATAAAAGATTCCTTTCTCTATTACAATGCCTTAATTGAAAATTCACGCGTCAATCATTTATGTAACATAGTTTCGAAAATTATTTGTTTTACTCAAAAAAAAAGAGCAAAAAAAAGCGTTACCTTATACTGCAAAAAAAAAAAGTGGTCCCGACAGTATATATATACCTGCTAGCTAACTTTTTCAAAAAAAAAAAAGATTTAAAAAAAAAAATAATCACCCTCCTTCATAATAATTATTAACCACATTAATAAATTTTTTTTCCATTTGTAAAAAAATGTATCGATCCTCTAAGAAAGTGAAATTGATATCAACCTGTGATGTCTGCCAATTTCGCAAGGCTGAATGTGATAAGGAACGACCAGAGTGCAGTACTTGTAAAAAATCCAATATAGCCTGTACTTATGAGCGTGCTGCTTTCGTTAAAGCATTACATGATAAGCAAATTGAGGAAGAAGACGAATTCAATCATTTAACACAGTTTGGACCATTATATGATGAATCAGATTATTTATCGATTGTCAATGAAAATCAGCAGAATGTCGATAATGTTCCCGTAAGTTAATTTTTTTTTTTGATCTGTGTATCAAGTTAGATAAGATTTTTTTTTTAATCGTGATCACTTCTAATCAATATAGGATAACACTTTAGATGAATTTCCTCAATGTTTTGCCGATTTCCGGCAGGTTTGTTTTTCTTTTTTTCCTCTTTTTTTGACTGGTAAAAAAAAGACCAGCCTTATATAATGAATTTTGTGCTCTGACAGAACGATTCTACTGAATCCGAACGAAACTGCGCAATTCCAACCATCCCTACCACATCCCTCGCCTCAGTAATCGTCACATCAACAGCCACATTCCCACTAACAACCGAAACAACTGAATCAACGCGATTCGATTTATCCGATATCGAACAATCTACCTCATCAATATATAATATTCTTAATGATTTACCACCACAATCATGCGAGTTTCTTCTTAACCAGTATAGGTTTTGAGATTAGAATATTCAATGTTGGACATTTTTATTTTATATTTATTTTATATTTAGCGGTCATTTTATGAAATTTTTTCATTCTTTTATTATATTATTATATTATCTTATAAAATATATTTCTTTATTGTATAAAAATAAAATACGAATACGGTATTTTACAAATTCTTAAAATACCCCAGGTAATTTATAAATATATAAATCGCATCACGAATCATGTTGCGAAATAAATAGTTTTCAGTAAATTTTGATTTACTATCATATTAGTCAATGCATTTGAAATATCAAAAAAATAAATTCCTAAGTAAAAAAATTTTATTTATTATAATTCAATATCTAATCTATATAACTTATATATGAAGCCGAAATTAAAATCTAAAAGTCGAAATATTTCGATTTGAAGGTCATCGAAATTAAAAGTCGAAATGCATTAAAATGGTTAAAATGGTTGAAAAGTTAAAAATACAATTAAAAATCATGGAAAAGTAAAAATTAAAAAAAAAAAAATACTATTACTATTACTATTACTATTACTATTATTATATTATTAAAATTTGCATTTATTAATGCATCATTATTACCATGATCAAAATTTAATTAAAATCAAATAATTTTCCATGATTATTTCATTTTTAATTTCTAATCTTTCATTTTCATTTTCATTAAGATTATTCTCATATTTAATTCTTCTTTATAGTTCTACGATTTTGATTAAATACTTGAAAAGTTATTCTTTAATAAAATCTGAATTGATATAATTCATTATTTTGCATTGTAACAATTAGTCTGAAGTGTAGTGAAGGACTATATATTTCTACAAATGTCTGAATGTTCATCCGCTCAATAATTAAGTCAATGCTAATTGGCTTTTGCAATATTTTTTTGGTTAAAATTGTTTTAGACTTAATAACAGTCTCAGTTTCCTAATAAATACATAATTTTGCTATTACCTTTATCCATTTAATGTTTAAATTATTTTAAAAAAATTTAAAATTAATCACTTTATAAGTACATTAATTCTAAAACAAAAAAAAAGATCTTTTACAACTATGTGATATTATTAAAAAATTTTTAATGCTAATATTTGAATAAAATTATCATATTTTATAATATGTTACCAAGTTTTTACACTCTTATAATTCTGATACAAATAAAATTTATAAGGTTTCATTTAGCTTTTATAAACTATAAGTTTGATTTACTAAATAATTAGATGAATTTTATCATCACCCATAAAAATCAAAAATTTAATAGCTAAATAGTAGACCTTTTTATTTAAATTCTTTTCTTAAATAATATCAATATATATACTGTATATTAAAAAAATTATTAAATATTTAGTAGCAATCAAAATATTATATCACTCAAATAAAAAATTTAAAATAGTAATGATTGATATTTTTATTAATAATACTTAAAGAACTATTTTTTTTAACATATTAGTTATATATATAGTATAAAAAACTAAAATATATTATATTTTTCTTAAATAATTGTCTTAACAAAATAGTTTTATTCTTTTATTAAAGGATTATATTTGTTCTAATTAGGATATGGAAGGTCTATTAAAGTTCAGTTAAAGTTCTAAAACCTATAGGTCCTAGTATGTGAATAGACTGATTTAAACTTTATAAAAGTTCTGTAACTTACATAGAACTGTAATCAAGATTAAGTTCAAACTGTTAAATAATATTTATTTTAGTACCTAAAGGTATTATATTTTAAGATTGAAAGCTATTAGAATCTTTCAATTCTTCCAATTTCAAGCTATTCAATACCAATAAATTTTATTTAGAAAATTAGGAAATTTTCAAAAATTTTTATAAAAACTTATAATTTTTCATTTTTTAAATTGATATTATTTTATAATTTCTATTTTATTAATAATTATAATAATACTAGATTATGTACTTTTTTTTCTTTTTAAACAATACTTTTCTTTTAAAATTCCAATATATAATTAAAAAGTTTTATTAGAACTAAATACCTTCTTAAATTTCATATATTTCACGTTGTAGAATTGAGAATTTACAATAATGAAATTACGTAATATTTTAATAAATAATTAAAGAAATATATAATTAAATAAAAGATTAATAGATAAATATTTAATTAAAAACTAAAATATAGAATACAAATAAACTATTAGCCAATAGATAAAATACTTATTTAAAGAAAAGGATTAATTACTCACCAAAATAAAAGAATAAAATATTTACTAAAGAAAAAGTAAATTACCCACTGAAGGAAAAGGATAAAATAGTTATTGAATGTCAAATAACTTCCAAATAAAGAAAACAAAGAAATTTTAAAAAAGAAATATAATATCATAAATTATATTATAAAAAAGACAGAAATAATAGAATACTTAGACAAAAAATAATAAAAATAAAGAAATAGTTAAATTAGGAATAATAGAAATATCAGATTAGTTAAAATAGAAATATCAGAAATATTAGAAAACTATAATAAAAAATAATAAATTAACAGAAAATCTAGAAAAAGATTTTACAAAAATTATAGAAATGTTGGAAGAAAAAAATAAGAAAATACAAAAAATATAGAAATAGAAAATTAGAATATCTACAGTGTAAGACAAAAAAAACCAGAATTTTTTTTGAGAAATAAAATGATGCAA